CCTCCCGGAGCTGTTACTGTTCCTGTCCCTCTCTATGAAAAGAGTTTGCTGAAACTAAAATAAGCAGAAACTCCTTTTGTTCTCTCCCCGTATTTTCTTATGGACCTTTACCATTGCAGCAACTCTTCCCGTAGCGTTTTCCAGCCGCAGCGGTAGAATTTCCTTCTGTTTTACCATGCTAGGACAGAAGCGAAGATCTGGTGAAAGAAGCGTTCTTGCTGTATGAATACAGGCATAACAATTGTGTTTCCTGCAGAATGTTTTTGAAAGTCTACTAATTTCTGGTTGATAACTATGCAGGAACTTTCTGACAGTTTTAAGACTTTAATTTTGCTTCCTGTATTTATCAACTAGAATGATCCTATAATCTTTCCGAATTCTGTTCAGGAATGCTTAACACAGTCTCCGGGAAACAGTGAAAATATTTGACTCTTCATTTACTTCCTTAAGCATTTATTGTCATGTATTATCCTTTCCAGTAGCTCTCTGGGACGGTTCAGGTTGACGTAGATTATTGTCTTCATCATTTCCTTAGGGCTGTTTTGTATATTTTTCTGTCATCATCCAGCTGGGTGCACATACAGAGACAGGACTTTTTTGTGGGAACTCTGTGTTGGGAAAACTCTTTTTGAACTCTAGCCTTTTCATTTGTTTGATTTGTCTGGATTCTACTTTTTATTGTTGTTAGAATATAGAACGATATTGCAGGACATGCTGAAGTTCTTGGACCCTCTCAGGAAACACAGAATTAAACAGAGGAGCCAGGTCACAACTTGCTCTGTGTGTAGAAATAAATGGCAAGAGGACAATTCATTAATTCAGCACTTGGCATGTTTCTCTTTGATCTTCCTCCAAAGACTGCTGTGCAGTATTCATCTTTAAGGAGGGGAGCAAATAGGTTTTGCTATAGGAGACTGTAGAGTTGGGGAGAAAAATATTCCATTATTTAAATTAATCACTCCACGCCTTTTAGAAAGTAGAAGACAAACTATACGCTACAACTAAAAGCAACATTTTTTGGTGTCATTCTATGTGATGTGGTTTTCCAATTCTTTTATGTCGTTTTAGAATGAACTACAGGTAAGTCTGTAACTTGAGGATGTTTTGGTATCTCTGTGTTGAAAATCAAGATGTCAGATGGAGAGACGTTCTATTTTTGCGAAATTAATATCGGAGAGCATTACATCAAAGCAGTAAACTCCTGTTGTAGCAACAGATGCAGCAACCCTGAAGGCTGGTTTCTCTCTTGTTACATTAGTGTTTAATTAAAGAAAACAACTAGTTGGAGGCAGTTACTTTCTGTGAAATGTAATGAAGATTTGTTTTGTAAGTGACCTTCACTGTATTAGCTGAATCAGTAATCAGTAAAATTAATAGAATAATCAAATTATATACAAACTCATAAATCATTGCGAATATGCTGTCAAAAATTCAGCTTTTAATATGTCCTATTGTTTCAAAGCTGTATTAAAAAATCACAACTGTCGAGTCCTGCCTTGATGGGAACTGAAATGGCATTTAAAGGCTGCGTATGATGGAGAGCTACCAGGCCAAAAATTTTCACAACTCTTAATTTAGCTGTAATGTGATTTGATGTCACCGGGGCAAAGTTGAAGTCGAGTACAGTGTTGTTGCTATCTTTCAGCAAAACTTGAATTATTGGTGTAGGCAGTCGCCAGTTAATTAGAGTAATATCAGTTTAAATGTCTGTCATTTAGGGTTAATGGTATCAGAGAGTTGCCTTGTACTTGAAGTACAGTCAGATCATCCTGAATAGCCTATTGTATGGAAGTAATGTTAGCACAGTGATTTTACTTTGTCGTGAATTATGGGATGCCAGTTAATTTAATATATCAGTTTCTATATTTAAATAATTTTGGCGAGTTCTTTCTAATCATGTCATTTTTCATGCTAGGCTGTTTTAATAGGTGTGTTGGCTCTTTGCAGTTGTTTAACACAATGCAATCGAAATTCCTTTCCATTTTCCTTTAAAAAGAGAAGTTTTCTGCTAGCCTACTGTGAAAACAGGTCGTGCCCTCCTCCACTGAATAGCAGGCTACTGCTGAAAATAAGTAATCCACATTTTTGCGCAGCCAAGCAGCACAGTTCTTTGAAAGCACTCTAGAAAAATAAAGTGCATATATCAAAGAGCCCTTGACTGTGGTTGAAGTCAAAGGAAAAATAGAATTTATAGTTTCTAACAAACGAATCATAGTTCTAGTTAGGTTAATATTGCTATCTTGTACAACATATGAAATAAATTCAGCTGAGTTGGTTTGAAAGATCCTACTACATGCTTTGTCAGGCAGTAGGCCACTGATTGCAGCATTAGAGATAATAAGCCTGTAGCTCAAGGCTCAATTAATAATTCTTCAGTGAATGTGTAACCTTTGTGTCGTGTTCAGCATCTCCAAACAACTGAGGTTGGTATTCAACATGGTGTATGTTCTTCCTGCTTTTGCATGGGTTGAAGGCGTATTTCGAAGGATTTTTCTGATTTGGCCAGTAGTGAGTGATATTGCTGACGTTTTCTTGTGCTCCAAATGGTAGCAGAGTCTAACTCAGAAGGGATGTGAGTTGGAAACACACTTCAGCCATTGATCGTGCTGCATTCATGCACCGTAAAAGGTATTGCAGTACTGTCTTTGAACTACCTGATACGACTTTTGAATGCCAGGATTGATTCTGATTTAGGAAGTCAGGTTGACAAAATTCAAGTGTTCTTTTTGAGTTCGTAATCTAGGAACAGATACCTAAAGCTCTTAAACTTAAAATAAAATTGGAAAAAAAAAAACAAACCCAAACCAAAACCCAACCTGTTGGTAAATGAGGAAGGTCCTGCTGTCACCCCAGAAACCTCGGAGAGCCGTGTTCCACCACACCAGCCAGTCTTTCTCCTATTGATTAAACAGTCAGTTTGATTGATAGTCTGATGCCTAGCTAATGGTAGACAGGGGTTAAAAATGTAGTCGCACTAATCTGTTGAATTACAGTGTGAACTCTAGTAAAGGATAGCTAGAATTAGCATTCTTATTTTAAATACGATACCTGGGCAGACTCTGTTAATGAAATGGCAGATGTAATTTCTGATTTTTATGCCCTTCCAGTTTCAGCTCCATCCTCCCATCTGTGAGCTGAACATCGAATGGCTGGGTCGCACCAAAGCTCAGCGTGCGTGACAGGAACTCAGAAAACTGAGTTTCCTTCTCTGGCATGGTGGAATGGAAGAGTGTGTCACTGCATTCGATGTGTTACAGACTGTTTTATGCTTTACTCATAAGAGGCTGTTTACTTCTGAGTAAGAGGGGTCACAGGAACACCACAGGTGTATTTAACTTGCAGGACAGTGGCAGAATTGTCAAATGTCTCCTGATAGCATTTGACACTTGTCTCTGATAGAGCAGTTCACGCTGAGAAAAGGATGTGCAGGTTTTGTCAATATGCAGATTATTTGTTTGTTCTTTCTCTTCAGCAGGTGTGAGAAGAGGTCGGTGAGAGCTGATTGATCCGAATGAGCCTCTGGAGATTGTTAGATACATAAATAAGTTAACAAAAGAACATATTAAAGATTCCCAAATGAGAGCAGAGATTACAAACAGCCCAAATCTGAAATTATATTGTAAGGCATCAGACATATCTCCCCCATCTTCCTTCTGTACCTTTTTCCACTAAGTGATTTACGTGCTGACTGGAAATTTTAAAGAGAAGTTATTTCTTTTCAAACTTATCTTGAAAAGCATGTTTAAAACCATTCTTACTGATGTACCTTTTGTCACACCATGTTCTAGAGAACCTCATCCTCTGCATTTTTTGTTATTCTAAGAGTGCTCCTGAAATAATGCACTGTAAACAAAAAACTGGCTGAAGTTTATCATAATTCACAGCTAATCGTGAAGCTTTGTCCTTGAGAATCTCTAACATATATCCTGTTTCTCTAAGATAACGAATTTCTCTGCATTAGAGTACTCTCACAGAAAGTTTAAAGGGATTTTTAGGCATCACTTGCAGAAACTTTAAAAAAGTTACCATTTTTTGTGAATTAATTTACCTTGTGTCGCATCAGAGCAGCAGAAGAGTCATCCCCAGAGACTGAGCCTAGCTTTTGGCAGATAAGGAAGTTAGGATGCAGGGATTAACCTGGGATCATGTTTATCCCCCTATCAACTGAACTTTTACTGTGCAGCTTTACGGGAGAGCAGTCTCAGACTTTGTGCATAGGACAGGTTCACCTGGTGAAGAGGTTTAGTCGGATGTATCTTCAAGGGGGTGATAAAACAGCCTGGCTAATGATGAAGTTTTGCAGTGGGCTTGACTTCACATGAAGTCCCTGATGTGTAAATGCAATAATCTAGTTTCTTTAAATTCTGAGTCTCCTCAGAGTTTAGGAGCAGGTGAGTTGTGCTATTAGATTAACGTCTGGATGGCATCATTTTCTTGGATTTAGGTATGGGGTTTTCTTTGTAAGTGGAACGTTGCTGAATAGCTTAGTAAACGTTAGCTTTTGAAAAACTGACCTGTGTAAGCTGGTTCCTTTTTTCCTTCAGGATTTTTTTTAAATCGTAAGTCCATGCATAGAATATCTTCATAATATCTTAATATCGTAGCACAGGCAGAACCTGGAGGAATCCTTATTTGTAAGAGGTGATCTTCAGATTGTCAGAAGTCTTCATTCTGTTGGAGCACTTCTCAGCGCTCTCAAAATTTGAGGTGCTTGGAGTCAATGAAGTTCCCAGAGTGTAAGAGTAGAGAAATAACTTCTAATGTGACAACTGAGAGGAGGAAGACAAATACTAATACAGAGGAGTTAACAACATATCCTTTGCAAAAACTGTATGACATGCTTTATTTCGATGGCTTTTTGATTCTCTGATTCAGAGGTGAAGACGTGTCATTAAAAATGTACTACAACACGCGCAGTGCTTTGCCTTGCTTGTGACACACGCTCACATTGATTACAATTAGTTGTGCTAAGAGTAACCTTTATTTTCTCCTAATGTGTTTCCAGGATGTGTGCTGTGTTTGGTGGTATCTATTGTCTTCGCCATCCTGTGCGGTGCCTTGTAGTGGACAAAGAATCTGGACGGTAAGGGTGATATAAGTAACCTGTTTATATACAAAATTCAGATGAAAAATGTATTAAGTCAATTTAAAAAAAAAAAGATTCTTCAAAGATCCTCCTTGGTATTAATAACACATCAACCTTGATTAAAAGTAATTTGTGTATAGGTCCTCCAGAACAAGGAAAGCGGGTCTAGAATATAGAAACTAAATTAATTTCCCTGTGATATTACTACAGCTCCTGATCACCCAAGCTTGGAAGACAAATCATTTCAGCTGCCGGGGGGCTGGTGATGAGTGATGTTAGTTTTCCTTGTGGCCTTACCTACTCTAATTGATTTTCATCAGATGACAACAAAGCCCTCTGTTATTGCATTTTTAAAAATGGAGCTCACCTAAAGACTCATCAGATTAATCTTTGCTGATAATGCATGTCACTCCAAGAGAAAAGACTTTAATGAGTTTTTAGGTAGATTGTTGTCATAAACTATGCTGCCCTCTTATCCTAGGATAAATTCTTTCACAACAATATCAGGCCTGTGGGTGGGTTTAAAGTTAAGCTAAGAAAAATCAACCCGTAGTTTTGTCCGTGGTGGCATTTTTCACACCCCTGTAGATTGTCATGGTTTCTGTTACATACATGCTGTCAGTTATTAGTCTGACTGCAGAGTTTAGCTCTCTTAAGAGTGTTTTCAGTTTAGTTTCTGTAATTGAAGCGTTCAAAACATTCTGTAGAGAATTTTGAAAATTAAGATAGAGAAGACATAGGAACATTTTATTAGGAAAATCAGTAGTTAAATGGTGGATGTAATGTGCTTCCTTTCCAGTTGCACTACACATTTGATCTTTTAGAGAGTGGTACTTGTGACTAGATCTGTCATGACAGAATCACAGAACAAACATTTTATTAGGAAAATCAGTAGTTAAATGATGGATGTAATGTGCTTACTTTCCAGTTGCACTGCACATTTGATCTTTTAGAGCGTGGTACTTGTGACTAGATTTGTCATGACAGAATCACAGAATCCCAGACCGTTAGGGATTGGAAGGGACCTCCAAAGCTCATCCAGTCCAATCCCCCTGCCGGAGCAGGAACACCCAGATGAGGTTACACAGGAAGGCGTCCAGGCGGGTTTTGAATGTCTGCAGAGAAGGAGACTCCACAACCTCTCTGGGCAGCCTGGGCCAGGGCTCTGTCACCCTCACTGAGAAGAAGTTTCTTCTCCAATTTCAGTGGATCCTCCTGTGTTCCAGTTTGTGTCCAGTTTGTGTAGCATCTGTTTTTCCTGAAATTCTGTGAACAGCACATTTTATTTTTCTGCCAGTCCCTTAAGGTTCTGCCAGGTTTTCTGCCAGTTCTTGAGTTCACTGCATAGTTTCAGACTTTGAGATGCAGGTGTGATAGTATTTCATCATGTGTGTTAAGTGCAGGATCCATATGCAAATGAAATTGTGCCCCTTCCATAAAGCTCTTTGGTTTGTTGGTTGTGTTTTGGTTTTTTTTTTACAGTAATACTTGAACTTTATTTTCCAATAATGTGTAAGTAGTTAATGTACCCTGTCAGAGGGACAAAGCTCCCAGTTGTTAGCAACTTGGAAACACAGCTCTTTGTAGATCTTTACTGGTCAGTGGTGCTGGTCGCCCCAGTTTCCAGCTTCTTTTACACATTCCAAAGACCTTTGAAATTAATGTTTTTCTCTTTAAGATTATATGTATTCTAAAAAAGGTGGAGTGCTGCTTTTCTTTTAATGTGCTTTTATGTTTTGGTTTTAATAAGTTCCTCCGAGTTCCAGATAAGTTTCAAGTGTCTTTTTTAGGCTGTTGGGCTGCTTCAGTGGTTCATGTATGCCGTTTTCACTGAAAACTGAAGATCAGATTTTTGAGGTGCAGAATTAGGGAAATATTTTTAACAGACTTTAACCAGACTTTCATTATTCCAAAACCATTGTTTTTGTAGTAATGCCGTTATCTGATGCTGAATATGAAGAAGCACTGCACATCCAGCTTCCCAGCCCTAGTCACCTGCCTTTTTCTTGGCGCTGCCAAGATGTATGGGTTTATTCAGTTACATGATTTTCTCTTGTTTTTCTCTTCTCTCACCTGAACACAATACAGTTTTCACTTGTTAGGGCTTTTCCTTAGAGTGTTATTTAGGAAGCTGTCCGTTTTGGTGCTGGGATCATCACGATTTCCTTTCCCTTCTTTTTTCATGTTCTCTCTTTCCTTACTGTGTATTCTCTCCCTCCACTAGCTCTAATTTCCTCCTGGCTTTGGGCTTCAGTGTTTTGCCTAATAAAAATCAGCTATCAAATTGTTAATGAGGATATTTATGAGTGACTGAGCTTTTGAGTCAACAGGCCATTAACAGTAATCGGTAACAGACAAATTCATATCTCTTTGTCACTGGAGCTGTCTCTGTGGTTTCAGAGGCAGCTTACTTTGGTTACAAAGAGCTGAAACAACAGTAGAAATTTAGTCAAATGGTGCCATATTCATCACTTATTTTATAAGCACCTTCTGTAGCCTACAGACTTAATCAAGACCTTAGTACATGGCAGGGGGGTTGGACTTGATCATCTTTAAGGTCCTTTCAAACCGTTCTGTGATTCTATGAATATTCTTGCTCTAGTACATGTAAGGAAAAATTATACCTACAGCTACAACCTTGATTTTCTTCTCGAACTTGTTGATATCTTAAAGTTAAATTTCAAGTCCCTGAATGTCACCAAAGTTTATTCCAGCTCCATTCCAGACTTGGCTAACATTCTCTCCGGCACAAGAAAAATAAGAACCCACTCAATATCCACTTGAATTGCTTTTTTCACTTTATTTAACTACTCATAATTGTATATACAGAGAACGGTAGGGTTTATCCCCAACTATACAATTAGTTTTACCATGTTACTGTAACCCTTTTTAGAGGTTATAAAAATAAACAGAAACTACAGAAACTTTTAAGACATACACTTCAAAATTTCTATTTTTTTACGTATTGTATCAGATTAGGTCTCTGTTTTGACACCTATGCAGAACATCCTGCAGCCTTGACAGAACTCTGATGGTCTGTTAGAAAATAAAAACCATGTCATATTCCTTAGGTTGGGGAAGAAGCACATTGAACATATGCATGACAGTTATTTCTCTTTTTGTTGTTTATGTTCTCCACGTTTGTTGTAGGTCACTTATTTGGGTGCATATGGTAAAATTTAGAGTATTGTAAGTTACATGGATTACATTAATAATGGGGGCATTTTACGTCGATCACACTGTACATATGTTTCCAATTACATAGTTCTGTCAAAAATGGAGAAGATGTGATAAATGGATATTTATACATCTGTAATAAAAAGATATAGCAAACACATAGTAATTTACATATCTTTCTTGAAATATTGCATACTGGCTTTGTCAGTGCTGCTGAGTCCATTTCAAGGATGTCGCCCTTAGTCCATTAGTTTGGATAATGAGCCCTATAAAGTACATTTATAACTCGTGGCACTGCAAGGAGATGGATTCTAATTTTCATCCTTTTATCTAGACACATTGAAAGAAGGTCAATGGAGGGTTCTGTATGATTCATTGTCCCAACACATATCAGATGACAGAGACCTGATAATGTCAGTGCATAAGTGTTTTCCATATTTAGAAGCAGTACTTGAAAGAAGTTTTCTCAGCATCGTCCTTTGAAGTAAAGTGGAGACTGAAATTAAAAGCACTATCTCTCTCTCTGTTTAGACTCTTATCAAACATATGACCTGATAGCTATTCCTGAACAAAGGAGAGGAAATGACACTTAGCAGGAAAAGAAAGAGCGTCTTGCTTTTGCTGGCTTTGAGTGATGCAACATGACATTTAATCAACCTTTCCCCTTCGATAATGTTGGGGGCTGGGGGTGGAAATTGTTTCATAAACAATGAGAAAGGTTATAATTAGAAATGAACTGTAGCAGCTCGACTTCCTTGTTTATTTGCAGTATTCAAATGAATGCTGGAGAATGAAATCAGGTAGGTTAACATGAAGAAAAAACTTCAAGCGGCAAGTGAAACACGTGTTGAATAGAATGTGATTGAAACTGTGCAAAGAATGCTACTTGTGTTCTTCCTGCAGAAGTATGAAGTTTGCTCTTGGATAGAGATTTTTCACCATTAAAATCTGAAATTGGGGTCCTGTTCTCATCTAATCTCTCTGAATCGCTTCTTTACTGTGGGTGCATTTCTGTCCCATTTATAAGAGTGTTGGTCTGTTGTTACGCTTGACTCTTGAAAATTTTTTTAGCAGTGTCTGTTCTCATTTTGTTTTGACCTGAAAGATTTTTCTGGAGGGGTCTTGGGTTTTTCTTTTCTGACTTTGTCAAGCATTGCCTGAGGTAGACTAATACATGTTTGCATTAGAATTTGTTCAAAGACAAACCGTATCTTATCAGAAACATTGGTGTTGCTCGTAAAGCAGTGCGACTTAGTTAATCCTTTTATGTGTAACTTAGAGATAAAATGTAGTCCCAAATATAGAAGCTCGGACAAGTTCTCTTGGAACAGGCTGATGCACATATTTCTCAGGGATTTTTCCTTACATCTCTTAAGTTAGTTTACGATTTAATGTGTCAAATATTGTTGTCAGAATAGTCTTGTCTTTGGTAAAAGGTTGCTGACTGGGGATAAATAACACTGTGATAGGGTAGCACCTACAGAATAAATCACAGTGTTACTCTTTAATGTATCATAAGGTTAGAGAAGTATGCCATTTTCATGTACAATCACATGCCAGTGTTAACAACTTATATTTAGTTTTCCTTATAAAGCGACCAACTTATTAATGTTCTAATATCATTATCTGTAATGGCATTATGTATCAAAAATTGTCTATGCCAGATAGAATGTGTAAGTCTAGGATTTATTCATCAGCTTCACTTGAGTTGTTTCAGGGGTTCACATGTTAAAGAAATGTGTAGCTAACTTACTTGAAGGATAGAAAGGATGTGCTATATAACTAAATTTTGAAAGCTTACCATATGCTTTTGTTACCTTCTATCTAAATTTCTTTTTTTGTTGTTTGATTTCTATATTTTTTTACAGATGCAAAGCTATTGTGGATCATTTTGGACAAAGAATAAGTGCTAACTACTTCATTGTGGAAGATAGTTACCTTTCAGAGAGCGTATGCACAAATGTGTGTTACAGGTATGTAGTAAAAGAGTCAACATAGTACATTTCTTTAAATAGCAGTATATCAAGTACCATGCAAGTTAAACGTAAGAGATTGTTGGCTCCTGCTTTGTCTTTGCAGTACGGCATAGTTCTGTGTGTAGTTTTTCTCTTCTATACACTTGAGGACAGAGTGTATACTTTCAATGTTTAGGTTTTCTTAAATTGTCCTCTAAATGGTATTCTCCCTTTTCTTATTAAAAACCCAATAGCTCTAAGTGCATTAGGGGTTTCATATTTGTTAAACAGCGTTTGTAAGGTAGAGGTGCCTGTTGGTGTTCTCGCTTTAAATTTGTTCAGGTTTAGATAAGTATTAAAAGTCAGTGCTTTCTCTGATTTTTACGGCTGTTGCCCAAAGCACTGGACATACACCGCCTTCATCTTCAAAATACTGCAGATGAGACATTAGCAAAACTGTAGTAGTAGCTTCTGTGCAGAAATAATCATGGGCAATGTAGGATTATAAACTTCAATTCATGAACTACACCCTGCTGTATTTCCCCTTAAGCTAAAGCGTCCTGTGATGTTTAAAACATAAAAAGTCCTTTACAATGCTGCTACTAAGCTTGATCAAATAAACAAAACAATTTTAAAAAAATCAATTGGGAGGATATTCAAGCTATTCTTTATAATGGCACTGGCTCATTTATTCATCATCTATTTTGGTTATTGGAAATACTACATTAATGTTTCAGATGTGGTCCTGCTGCAGCAATAGGCAAGATGTCCCACTAACAGTCATATGGATAAAGATGATTTGTTTAAGTAGCCTTTCCACAGTAGTATGTTTAGAGTGGTATTGACAAAGCTATGTGTCCAAAGTGCCATTTTTTTACATTTTTGTGAAATGCCCTAATTGTTTTATTTAATTGTAGGCAGATCTCCAGAGCAGTGCTCATTACTGATCAGTCTGTACTAAGCACAGATTCAGAGCAGCAGGTATATATCAATTTTGTATCACTTAGTTTTTATGAATTGTATGCATTGATATTTACTTCTTGTTAGGAATTAACTTTTGTTTCTGCTTGAATCCAGCTTTTTAGTCATCTCTCTTTACTGGTAATTCTTTAATTTGTTAGTCTTTATAAAATTATTAGAAATTTTATTTTATTTTAGTTCAGTGACTTGGGTTTTCCTGTTTGGTTGGCACTGTATTAATTAACAGAGTTTCTAAGCTGCTCTCTTTAAGGTAGTTCATTTTGCTTGTTTTTAATGAACTATTACCCTTAGTGTTCTGTTAACTATTAATTATTTCTCTTGTCCAAACTTTGTTCAAAGTTATTTTGGTTTTTTTTTAACATTCACTTTTACTGTTTGAACTTCCTGGTGTGTACTTTCAGATCCTTCTTTAAATGTTTCTGGTTTGTCAGTCTTTTAAGACCTTAATTTTAAAGGATATTAGTCTGTGTTAAGTATGTCTTCTGTATGCTTCCTGTATTCTTACAGGTTAAGTAGGACCTACAAAATAATAACACATATGACAGAGAAGCTTGTTCTTCTTGCATCCTGCTACTAGCAGTCTGCATTAAAACGTACTCCAGTTGTTCTCACCTAATAGTGCTCTGCCTGGTGCTCAAAAACAATTTTGCAGTCTCTTGCCAACATAGTTTCTAAACTGACAGCCTTCTGGAAAGGGCTGTGATAGGAGGTTTTCCTTCTGTTCCGCAGCTGCTGATGTTCCCTACTGACAGCAAGGTGGCCTTACTGACTTTGGTAGAAATTCTTGAATGCTCAAATTCTGCAGGATTGATTGCACCAACTGTTACTAATAAACCAGAAAACAAAATTGTATAAATGTCTGCAGTTATTTTTCATCTTTACTCAGAATTGTGTTAGTTGCCTCTTCCTCCACGTTACTTTGGTTTACCATAAGTTGTTCTTTCTGCTCGATAGGTTTCCGTTTTGACAATGCCTCCAGTGGATCTAGGAAGACCAGCCGTTTGCGTCATTGAGTTGTGCTCCTCAACCATGACGTGCATGAAGGACACGTGTGAGTACAGGTTATATGTAATCTTAACTGTATTTTTTCCTTTATCAACTCTGAAACGAAACTGAAGACGTGTGCTTATCGTTCCTCTGCTGCACAACGACCAGGCTGTTACCTGAAAAGAGCGTGCGCTGCATTACTGTTGTCAGCAGATGAGAGAAGCAGTGCATTGCCTTCGTTCTGTAGCACTTGTGTGCCCTTTCATGTGGCTTAGGAATCAAACTACAGGGTTCTTGTTGCAGTCAATGTTTTTTAAATTTACATGTGCTGATTATTTATTTAAAATCTTGCTGTGATTTTTACGGTAATACTGTTCTTTATTTCCAAGCAGATCAAATGTTGAGTGTTCCTTTTAACACCTATGTGGCCAGTAAGTTGTGGCCTTATTAGCACTGGGACAATATACTATTTATTGGACAGTAATTATGAAACAGCACCAACAAAGAGGGATTTTTTTTTGGTTATAACTGCTGTATTGTTTTTTTTGAATTCAGAAAGTATTAGAATTCCACCTTTTGTTTATTCTGCAAGATTGTTAAGTCAACTGAAGATTGAGCAGAATGGCTGCTTAGGTTAGTGGAGACCTCTAGCAGACTGTTTCTTTCTCCACTGTTACTAGCTAAGATTATGCAGTCTTCAAGTCAAAATACTAAGATTTTACAAATAAAACAACTGTAAGTTAAAAAAAAATCCTGCCAAGAATTTCTCTTACCACTATAATGAAATGGCTAAAACCCACCCAAACCTGTCAGCAAACAGATGGGATTTTAGTTAACATAGATGCGTGTTTGGTTTTTTTTTCCTTTCAGACTACCTTTAAAATTTAACAGAATCCTTTTGCCGTAGGACTCTGTGGTCTCATAAAAAATGTTGCAGACTTTTGTTGTCATAAGTATAGATTCTCAGTAGAACCATCAAGGATATTTCAGTGGTGTTTCCAGCAGAATGTTTTGGAGCAGAAGTTCTTGTTTCTGCTGCAGTTTCTGCTTTTTTCTTAATTGGCATATTCTGAACAATTAATAGGCAAATTAATAGACTTATTTTTACTTACACAGTAATAGAATTTTCGCTCAGTAGATTTAAAAAATATCTAAAGCACATGAATGGTAATGGTAGTTTGTCACTAGTTTGGTTTTTGAAAATGGACTACCTTAGTTGAACTATTAAATGGAAGTACCTGACGTACACTGTACTGGGAGACTTTATCTTCTAAAAGTTTTGGTGGAGGTGCAATTATGTCCCATTATGAGATCTGAAGGGAAGGAGTGCGTCATGATATATTTGAGATACAGCTATAAAAATTCTTTGAAGAGCTTTGTTATTATTGTCTACTGGATTAGATTCTTTAATTTGAAAAATGTCTAAGCAGTTGTCTTTCCAGAAGTATTTCCATAACCATTTTCCAGCTTTACATCTCTCTTGTTGGTTTTTGAGGTGAACTTCAGATAGATGACCAACAAAATGGTCTTAGTGAATATTTCTTTTTCTTTCCAGTTTTTTTCCCTGAGTTCTGTTAAATAGGTTACCAGTTTGGGACCCTCTGTGGAAGATAAGTAAACTAGACGTTACCTGACCTAATGCTTTTTAACAAAAAATAAGTAACTGTAACAATAACCAATTTATTTTATTATTACCTGGACTTGAACTCAGCTCTTTGCCTGCAGGAGCGAACTGAACGATTAGGTCGTTCAGAGTTGTATTTCATACTTCAACAACAATTTAAAAAAGACAGATCTCTAATTAAGAACTTACACTTTGTAGCACTATTATTAATATTTATCCTTTAAATAGCTAACTTATTTTAAGGGTTCACAAATTGAGTACATAGCAGGAGGATAAATATACACAGCAAGTTCACAGAATACACATAGCAGGTGGACTTGCCAGTGCTAGGTTTACAGTTGGCCTCGATGATCTTAAAGGTTGTTTCCAAGTTCCGTGACTCTAAAGAAGGATTGATGTTCAGGGAGGTGTAAATTATTGGCTTCATGAGAATTTCTGCAGTGAAGAAAAGTTAAGGTTTTTGGTATTTTCTCAATAAATTATTTTCCTTTCTGAAGTGAAGGTACTACATTCCTTAATGAAATTTGTCTTCATGTTTTGAAATAATATAGTTGTATTTTCGGTGTAGCTGAATTCTAGTTACGGGAGATATTTCATAATTTTTTTTAAACTTTTACATCATTATCTGTAAATGGGTTTTAACCTGACTGATCTCTTCTTCAAACAATTATTTAAGATAAGTATACAAATACATCTACTCTTTGATCACACTGCATAAATGACAGGCACATAATCTGTATTGCCAGTTGAGTGGAACCAAACTCCTTCACTTGCCCTAAAAATTGAGACTGTAATGATGAAATCATGAACTAAACTCATCGTTCTTCTTGCTGGAAGAATTACTTGAAGACAAATGTTGGCAACCACTGTAACTAATGCAGTTATACCTGAGTAAATCAAATATAATCAAAATATATACTGATGACTGTGACTCATAGCCATAACCTTAAAGATAATAAAAAAGATTTTATAGAAAGTAAATTATGTGAACTTCAGTGATTTATAACTGAGGATTTTTTGAGCAAAGAATAGATCATATCACAGTGTTTGGGGTTGTAACCATTTAGTTAAGGTTATCGGGAGACTTTCATTATCACCACCTGTTTTCATTTACTTTCTTTAGTACATATTCCTTTTAGACAGAAGGTTTGGTTTTGGTTAAATAAAAAATTAATGTTTGAATGTAAGCTGTGTGTATGCAATCTGAAAGCAGGGGAGCACAAAGACTTAAATTTCTGGTCCTCCTGGAGTCAGCGCCAAACTTTCTGTGGCCTAACTGCAGCCAGGAGATCCCTCAGGATGTGTGATGTAAATAGGGACACATCTATGGCCAGAGTTCAGAGCGAAAAAAGAAAATTGTCATGAGGATTTAAAATAATGCCATAGCTATACATGCTGTTAAATTGATCAATTATGTACAGTAATGAAGAAAAAAATGAGTCAGTGTAAACTTTGTACAGAGATACGTTAAATTTCTTCATCATTCTCTGACAGATACTCCTCTGATGATAAGTTTCCAGACAACTGTTCAGTAACAAATGAGTCCTTTAAGGTGATTTTATTAAAAGCTTTAAGATGAGGCTTTTAAATAACTGAATGAATGGATGTAAAATCAGATGGGATAAGCAGCAGAGTAGCCGGCTCTGTATCTGAATAGGAAAGACATCAAGAGCTGCGTCAAGTGATTATCTTTTCTAAGGAGTCAGCGGCTTTCCTAGTTTGCAAAACAGAACAAATAAAGGAATAGTATGATCCACGAGGAATCTGTTTAGCGACTTTATTTTCATGAAAACAAGTACATGAGTGAGAAATCTAGACATCACATCTGCGTTATTCAAGCCAAATTGTGATTTTTCAGAAATACAAAATTGGATTTAGTTACGTTGATTTGGCCACGCTGTGCAGTGAATTTTGATTAATTGCACACTTTCACAAATGTGTTCTTGTCATCCAAAGTCTTTCCATGTCATCTTTTTCCAGTATGGGTTTGCTGTGCTCTGTGGGTTTTTTCTGATGTGTGCAGAGCATCTCTTGAAAACAAGTACTTGAAATCAGTTTTGCAAATTATCACTCAAGGGATTGCATTTGTCATAATTTACATCACACAGCAGTTTTCTGATATTCAGCAGTGCTTATCTTTAAGTTTGTCAAAACGTGACAGTGTTGCTACTGTTCTTCATTTTCCTTAACTGCCAGCCCACTGGAGCTGTAACTTAAAACATGTATCTATTGAATTCATCTCCTATGTACTGTTAAGTACAATAAAAGAAGTGGAAGTCTTGCCCAAACTTCTTATTTCAGTAGAGAAAGATCAATTCCTACTTACTCCTGTACAGCCAAGCTTAAACTGCCTGTAGCCAAACTTCCAAATTCCCACTCAGTCCCAGTTTAGCTCTTAAAGGAGGGTGTTGATGAAAGTAGCGATATCTGTGGATTTAGGATGGATGTGGACTGCCAACATTATGATAAGAATGTTTGTGGGATTTCTAGAGGCCGTTAATGGTAAATATGACGTGTTATCCAGATTCTTGCTGCTGCTTTTTCTGGTCTCAGTAAACACCTATTCAGAGTGATATTTTCTCTGCACTGAAGAGAGAGATAATAATGAGATGTGTTAAGAAAATTGTGGGGTGTATATGCACTGTAATTCCATAATATGCAGTGCTTCTCTGGGGTACAGGAAGTGATTTATGTGGAGAGCAGTGAGTTCTAAGAGCCTGCTGTGCCTTTTAAAACTTGTAAGTTATATTTATATATATCTGTGTACTGGCGATTATAATTAGTTTGTGTTCTCTTTTAACAGATTTAGTCCATTTAACCTGTCCATCAACTAAAACTGCTCGGGAAGATTTAGAGCCTGTTGTACAGAAGTTATTCAATCTAAATGCAGAAAAAGGTAAAAATAAATAAATGAAATATGAATTTACCCTTATTACTGAAATGTTTCTTACTGAACATCTGAATCTGTCGTCAGAGTCAACATATGGTGAGCTGCTATTTAGATATCAGCATTTCAAAGTAAAGAAATCTATTTTCAGAGTGAGATTGATTAGACAGATGCCAGGTTTTTTGGTGTTTCATGTTCTAATGGTCCAAGTCTTCTTCAGCTGTGGTTTAATTTCAGTATACAAGGGCCATGGCTATAAGTGTCTAAAATTTTTCACACTTTCTTTTTCATGGAAACATATTTGCTCCTCATTATGTCTTCAAATGTGCAATAGTGAAGTGAAATATTTGTGAATCCTTTTGGGGGTTTTGCTTTTGGTTATTTGTAGACTGTCCTGGTTTTAGTGATTTCTGTCACTTGGGTATCCCTAACAAAAGTTACCAAAGTTAGTGATCTGCTTTCTCCTGAAGCTGCCGGATGTGCTCAGTGCAATAAGCTTCTTAGTTTTCTTTTGCCTTCTCTTATTCAAACATTGTTGTTCATCCTTTTGTTGTCTTCTTCAAGTGCTTCCTTGTTCGCTGTTCTTGGTTGAAGTTCTCTGGATTCCGCTTTAAGCAGCGGAAGCCTAAAGTTGTGGAGTTATCAGGAAGATAGACTTCTCAGTCATTACCAGTAATGAACTGTTTGGCTCTAAATTCAAGGAAATTCTTTCACCTCAAGATGGACAGTTTCACAGTGACTGTTGACAAAGCAGTTACTGCCTAGAAAGAATTTGTCCCTGAGATACTTTGAGCTAGTTCCACAGAAATCTTCCAGATTTAATCCTGAGATTTTGAATGTCATCATATTTTTGGTAGATGCTCATAGAGTAGGTGGTATGCACATAAACGATGTTGCCGTGTTCTAACCCTGGCAAAGCATTTTTAAATGTGGTGTGCTCAAATACAGTAAATCATAGTTCTTCTGTAAAAATACAACACTTAACTGTCAGTGGAAGTGTTTACATTCCTATATACGCAAGTTAGTAAGATTTGGATGTATTTTATAATATTTATTATTCATTTGCTTACAATATTTGCTGCTACACTTAATGAATGAAGCATAACATAAATTAATGTAGAATTTTGTCCTGTTAAAAAACCTGCAGTCTTTTATGTGACCAGTCTTCCTTTGTTCTCTCAGAGCTCTGTCACTAAGAGCAGTGTTTCATGAAGGGTTGAGTTCAGCTTTTCACAAGTTTGTTTTTCTGTGTTCTTTTTCCATTTCTCCATTTTCTTCCCTCTAGCTTTTAATGAAAAAGCAAATACCTTCCTGTTTCCATTAGACAACAAAGTGCCTTTAATAGGAAGCGAAATATTAAATAATATGCATTTTCTTTTTTTTTCTTTTTTGCTTACAGGAAAGACAATTATTTTGGTGTTGCAGAGACAATTTTTTACTGGGTTTGTAGTACAAGAGCCTTCACAAAACATATGTGGAATACGTCTAGGGTTTGTAAATAGAAAACTTTATTAGATTGGAGAGCTGCAGGCACTTTTCCTGTTGGTATTTGTTAATTTAAAGCCCACTGAATTTCAGCATTTAATATTTAACGTGTATCTTCAAATTTTCAAGACAGTGCCACGTGCTTCAAAGACTCAATTGGTGAAGGAAAGATTAGCTTGCAGTTTAGTGTCTTCTAATCATTTGGGGGGTTAGCATTAATCTTAATGTTTAAAGTGATCCAGTTTTGAAATGATACATTGTTTAGAACCCGACTGAAATTCTTCTGTGGAAACTCTGTGATCACAGGGGTCCTCAGGTGCACTGAGGCACTGAAAAGCTAGTTTTCACTGACACATAGGCCTTTTTATCATCAGGATGAGGTAGTGGTCGTATTTTAATTAAAATGTCAGAACAAATACTGTTGGAGTTATTGAAAATGAATCACCAGATAAAGTGAGCACTGGGCCATGGCAGGTCAAAGAGGCAAAGTCACCTGGAGAAGAGGACTCCATTCATTTTCCTGCCTAAATGAGGAAGAAGTAACTTTTATGAGCATGTGAACTTTTAAATATATTAAAGAGCATCTTGCCCTGTATTAAGGCTCAGACTTTCACAGGCTGATGAATTTAATTTATATTTCAAACAGTTAGCACCTATTTTTTTAAGTATTTGACAGTTATAAAAAGGTACTGAAGGAACAGCATAGATTTATCTCTTCTTTTTTTTTTTCTAATTCAACTGCTTTAAAATACTGTTTTGAGTGCTGTTGTTATCTAGAAGTTTATTCCTTGGAAAGAAGTAAAGCTAGTAAGGTCTTTTACAAACTTCATTTACTTTAGAGGAGGTAAAATACCAAAAAGGGGACAGCAAACATGCCAAACAAATAGTATCTATTAAGCTACGAATCTGTGTTGTGTATTCCTCCATTGCATTCTGCACTGTTGTAAAGTGACCTTCATCTTCCCAGGGGTTTTTCTGCCTGTACACAGAGGGGTTATATGAATGTGCAAAGTAACTGCAAGAAGGTACGGATGATGAACAAGCAAGATGTAGTTTATTATTACTTCTGTATTTGAAATGAGTATTGTAGCACAGTGCAAGTCCTCAGTAAGTACAGATGAATATAAATTAATAATTTATTTTAATTTAGCCATATTTCCACAGTGTAGAGATTCTACATAGTGTGTATCACACATCTCAAATAGAGGACTTCTGGCTTTTGGTAATTCTCTATCTGCAGTTAATTTGGTAAGGGATTTTTCTTTAAAACTTCTTTTATTTAAGCCTTGAGCATTAGTTAGTCTCCTTAGATTGGCTTGAAGATGGTCAGCTTTAAAGCACACAAAGCTCTGTTACGAAAACAGTTCCCATACAAACATAAACTATTAAATGGGGGTAAAAAAGTATGTATCAAAAATATCTTTGCATATGGAGTGCAGGAGCTTAAAGTTGGCTTAGCCCATGAAGGACTTGTTCAGACCCTCATGTGCTCATGGAGTTTATCCAGAGGAAACTAGATAGCGTGAAGTGGAAAGGCTTTAAATTTAGACCAAGCTTCTTGGTGATAATTGGTCCTTATGTGGCATACTGTGTACAGAATAAGTGGAGTTTACATCCCTGTGGTTGTAAAGGAAAAGTGCCATGCAAGACTGCCTCAGAAAAAAATGGAAAGTAAAATTAATTTGCTTTTCAAAGCAAAGAGAGTAATTCCACATTAATACGTTGACTTTTAGTATGCTAGATCACATATTTCTCTTATTACATGTGAACATTATTTACTGGAAACTTTTCTTTTCAGAGATTGAAAATGAAGAACTGGAAAAACCTAGAGTCCTCTGGGCTGTCTACTTCAACATGAGAGATTCTTCAGGAATTGACAAAAATTCATATGATGGCTTACCCTCAAATGTTTATGTCTGTTCCGGACCAGACTCTGCTCTAGGAAATGACTGTGCTGTCAAACAGGTTGGGCAAATCAATTTTTTTAGTTGCAGAACTTTCAAATTAAAGCCTTAAGGAAGTCAGATACAATCTACTTTTGTTCTGGGTTCTTCTGCTTTATGCTGAGTAATTAGTACTGATGCTGTTATGAAGCTTCACAGCTAGGCATACAAAAATCTTAATTAATGAGCAAAGTGAATGTCAGTGGCATTCAGAATGGAGGAAACTTGAGAAGAAAAAATAGCTGATACGGTAGCATTAGGAGTAGCAGGTATCTAATCTGAACAGGTAAAGGGAATCTAGAAGGTAGCAGTTCCTGAAGGTGATGATCTTGGTAGAATGGCTTCTTGCTCTAATACTGTGGAAAGGAAAAACTGTCAAATAATTTAGAAGTACAAACAATAACTCCCCTAAATATGTGATCTTTCTCCTGCAACAAGTAGTAGAGAAACAGTACAAATGAAAGGTCAGAAAACCCTATCTACAGTTCAAGTTGGGATGACCATCAAAGCAGTATAATACCTGCAGGACATACTCAAAAACCTAAAATCTATTGAGAAAAAAACCCAGTGTAATTACTACTCTAAGCTATCTGTCTCCGTTTACCTTCTCTTTGCCTTAGTATCACTGTATTACAAAATACGGTGTAATTGTGTCTCTGAAGGAATTGAAGGGAATGTTATTCTACTCATGACCTTGAGATAGTAGTTGGCACCAGATCTCACACAGTTCTGATTTTTGTTTTTCAGTGTTTGGGTGTCTTCGTATCTAGTTCCTGCTAACTAGAATCCTGAAATGAGAACCACTTGCAACTTGCCTAGTAGTAGGCATAACATACTAGTACTCAATTTAAGACAGGCTGCTGGTGCTTTGAAATTGGAATTGAAGAGTGAAAGCTTCCTAACAAAACTAGGTAGATGGAGCGATGGTGAAATAGCCACCTCCTATGTTGGCAATAGCCAGAATATGCAGGGACACCAGATCTTCAAGGGCAGGTACACAGGAATCCACAAAGAACTTCATATCATACCTCTCATTGTGCCTTCCCCACTGCTGTTGAGCAGAGGACAAGAAGATCATGCATATATGTAGGTAAAACAGAAAACTACAGGAATGCTCTTCCTTTGCGCTTCCATTCAGAGATCCACCTTGATCAAGAAGGTATCAGTTCTTGGACAAATCTGCCACAGCAGTGGCTGTGATGTCAGGGTGCTTTCAGAACAAATGTGAGAACACTTGTACAGCTTTGTAGGATTAACTGGCACTAGTCATCTTTAAACCTGTTTTTTAATGGCTGTGTTCTGAGAAAGCACATGCCATCTTCTAACAAGTTGCAGGTTCTTTTATGACTAAGTGATAAACCTCTTAAAATAAGATTTTAAAATGGAAAGGCTGACATAGCCTGAACTGTAGGGTCAGAGCAGTACAATTAAGGGCTAATAGTGCCCTTTGTTTTGCTTTACAAGGCAGTAATTTGCCTCCCAAGAGGATAAAGAATTGTAAAAAAATAATGCAAAACAATTATTGTGGCAGCAGTTTTACATTGTAAATGAGTTCTTCTCTAAATGAGATTTATTTAACTGTTCCTTAAAACAGTGCAAGTTAAAAGCTGTTAAAATACAATTAAAACCAGCCTATTTCTAATTCCAATAGCCACCTTTTCTAGTATTCAACTTTCTTACATTAAGAGTTCTTTTTCTTACCACTAAGAAATGTTATTGTAGATCAAGCCGTGTTTAAATATTTTAGGTGCTGTAGTTAGCCTTTGTGTTAAATCTGTTCACCGTCAGTCAGACAGATTTTAAACAAGCAGATCTTGGAGGAGAAACAATCAAGAGCCTAAAACTGGTTTTCAGAAAAAGTAGATAAAAGCTATGTATTTTTTTGAACCTGTTTCAAATTTTGAAACAAATAGCCACTACATAGAGTGAAAAATATTTTAGTGTAAACATTAGGGACCTGGACAGGCTGAGTCCATGGGCTG